ATAAATTAAAAAAACATTATATTTTTAAATAAAAAACTATTTTATCGTGTATTTGTAACCACTGCAAGTTTATATAAGAACAAATTTTCTTAAAAACATATTTTTACACTAAAAAATTTCTAATCTTTTATTAGGGTACACTACTGATCACCATAGTATTCTTTGCTGTCAAACTTTGTTTTCAGAACACGTAAATAAATAATTAAATTTAAATTAATAATGAAGGACCAGATAATCCCGACTGAAATGATCGCAGCGTAATTGTGTGAAGTTTATTAAGCATAAATTGAAAAATGATTTGATGTTAGTTCTTTCTTATTATATTTATATTTCATCAAGACGGCCAACCATTGTAGGGTGGCCAATCATTGTACCGATTACCCTATGTTAATATTAACGAGGTTATATTGTTCTACTCATTGCAGCGTTAAGCAACACTCCAAATTACGTTGTCATCAACTATCATTTTCAATTCAACGTCAAAACTTTGACGTGACGTATCCCGTGTAGAAATTTTGTCATGGTCCCGATCAGGGCCTGTTAGGGATTAGTCAGGGCCTGATGTGGAAACATTGATCAAGACCAGATCAGGATGAAACACACCACCTGATCAGATCCACATATGGAAGTCCCTAAATATGGGCCTGATAGGGCACTGATGTGGCCCGGAAGATAATTTTTTCTTTAAAATTAAATCAAAGGATTCCGAACATAATATAGAAAATTGTAGTTTTCTTTACATTTTTGATATTTATTTATCAAGTCAGAATTTCATAATGGTAAAAGTATTATTATAAAAAAAATGTAATACTGCTTGTCAAAACAAACAAGAGTCATATGTAAAATACTGTACAAAAAATGTGAGGTTATTTTTTAAACTTGTTAACGTAACGCTTTTTTTGATCTTTCAAATTTAATGTTTTTTTCATTATTAAAAAGCTTCGTAAAATCGACAAATCAATAAAATTGTACCACATCTACTAGTTAACATAACCTCTTTTTGAAGTATAATACAATTGCAAATATTTATACATATTGAATTTTAATGAGCCGAAAGTTTTGAACGTTTATATCAACGAAATATTTTTTTCAATCTATAAATTATTAAAAATTATGATGACCATGTAAAATAAAACAGTAAATTAAACAATTATTAAATTAATAACATCTTTTTAGATATTTTAAACAATATTTTGTAATAAAATTCGTACTTAAAGAAGTTGCAAAAAAAATTTTGTTCATATGATCGTTCAAAACTTTTTTGTTCGGAATTCGTTACTCAGGGTCTTGCGGGATTGCTGATTACGAATATAATGTCAAATTTCTGAAATTGAAAATGTCGGATACAATATGACTGACTTTTTAAAAAGTTTGTCAGATTTGGTTAAAACTCGTTATTTACGGGTTTTCGTGGTCGCTTGTTATGAATTTGGTATTAGATTTTCAAAATTCAAAATGGTTGATCCAATATGGCGGATATTTTTTTTTAAAATGATTAGATTGATACTGATGGGGAGTTTACGCTGCTATTCGTAAGGAATTTAATACCAGATTAGTAATTAGCAACTCCGAAAACCCCTAAGTAATGAGTTTTAAGGAAATTCTATCAATTACTCAAAATTCTTCAGCAATATTGTATTCTTATTACTATTTTTATAAATATAAAACTGTCGTTGCAAAAATAAATTTTTCAGTGCCTATTAGAGGTATATTCGAAATTATTTATATATATATATGTATATATATATTTGATTATCGTTTGCGTTGGGGCGAAGTATTATATCGATTATGCGATAATATAGTTATAAATATGTAAACTTAAATATACATAAATTTCTAGGAGATATACCTACCGATGTGAGAATGAAACCAACTCATCTGGTCAGAAGGAATTCATTACTGCACTTTCCGGTATATGGCTTATCACAACAACTTGATCTCTTCTTAGTCAGGATATCTTTATTCATTCTTTATTTTTTTAAATCAAGATCACTTTATTCTTCTGCTCAAAAATATTTTCATCTAAATTATAATTTTTCAAACGATTTTTTTTATTTAATGTTAACAAAATTCATAAAATATATGAGGCAAAATTTCTGAAGTAATCCAACTTTAAAATTGAAAGTTATCGGATCAGGCTGCAATTATTGAGGAAACAAGATGGAAGGCCAGAAACTACTGGAAGAACCTACTCTCTAAATTTGAATCAGCGGAATCTCGCTGATTCTCAGCTATAAGTATACCACTGATTCCAATTAGCTTATATGCACTGATGAATTAGTGTAATTTCACTGATTTTTCAGCGTATATCCGCTGATTGGTACCAGTGGTATACTTATCGCTGATTCAAATTTAGAGAGTAGTTGGTACAGACCAATTTGATTTCTAGATGTCTACCCGAGGCGAAATTTAAGCCCTAATTTACAAGGAGTAAAGTAGAGTTAAACAGACCCTCTTTAGCTTCCTCAACTAGTCGCAAATTTCGCTTTCTTCCACGTTTGGATTTAAAGTAGGGTCTAAAAATTGATTAAAATATTGAAAATTTTGAAATTGCTCTAATTCTATTAATTTTTTTAAAACGCTTCAAAATATGTTAATTCCAGTTTTTAAAGGGTAATTAAAGAAATATTGTGTGAAGAAAAAATTCATTTTGCTTTAATCAAAATAATTAAAAGAGTTTTTTTTTGCATTTTTTTGTACTTTTTTAATCGAACTAGACCCTCTTTAGCTTCCTCAACCAGTCGCAAATTTACCTTTCTTCCACGTTTGGATTCAAAGGAGGGCCTACGGGAGTCTACAAGATCGTAAAGAGGGCCTATTTAGGTTCTAAGGGAAGCTAAAGAGGATTCAAATTTCGCCTCGGGCACTTTCCGTATACTGATTTGGGATCTAGAATACGGATTGTGGAATCCAGAAAGTGAGGTTTGTAATGTAGGGCTTCGAATTTAGGGTTTGGAATGTTGAACTTAAAATGTGAGGGGTTTTGGAATGTTGAACTTGAAATGTGGGGTTTCAACTGAGGGGCTTGAAATACTGATTGTTGAATCCTGAAATGTGAAATCTGGAATAAGAAATGTGGAATCCAGAAAGTGGGGTTTGGAATGATGATCTAGGAATGTGGGGATTTTTGGATTGTTGAGCTCGGAATAGGGGGGTTGGAATGTTGGGCTTGGAGTGGGGAGTTTTGGAATGCTAACCTTGGCATGGTGGTTCCCGAATCTTGGACTGGGGGGATTTCCCAATGTTGAACTTGGACCTGAGGGATTTCCCAATGTTGAGCTTAGGTGGGAAATTTACCCTTTTTGAGGTGGGGAAGGGGGGAATTTTCTTTTTTAAGATGGGGGAAGTGGGTAATTTCCCCTTATTGCTCGTGCGTCAAACTCACACGTGTCTCGATTGCCCTACTTTTGCGCCCTTGCCACATAATTAACTATTAAAGGCTTAAATATATAAGAAAACATCCACAAAATCTCGCATCAATTTATTTGGGGTGGGGTTGTTGGCTCGCTTATATGTGTGTCATTCCACCCTAAACACCTATATTAATTAGCCGTCAGCGGACAGGAAGACATAACTCCTTGACTTGCGAGTTATAGGCTATTATATGCAATTCTAGCTTCAAGTCAACGTTGTCTCTCGTGGAGTTTCCAAGTGTCGTGTTACTGCAAGGTCCCCCCCCCCCTCTTTTATACCACTGTGCTTCGAGACCCGGGGGCAGATTCTCCCCCCTGTGGGGGCCCAAAGGACCCGCGGGTGGCCCCGAACGGATGATAGTTCGTTCTCTCTCTCTCTCCCTACGTGGGCACATAACCGAAGAAACCGAGTACGAAGCTCTTGCCGCATTAATAACACTGGTAGCCGCTCATATGTTAAACGTCCACCCAGTTACTTTCCACTTGGTGGTTTTAGCTGTGCGGACTCGCACCTACCTACAGCGATGCTTCTCGCGCCGCGCTTTGCATCCATATATATGTATATATATACCGTACAACAACGATTCACGTGTTTGTGTGTGTTATTCTTTTCGATTATCACGGCAACAAATGCCGTTTTAACCCCTTTGTCATCCACACCAGATAACTATCGACACTTTTCTCAACGAGACTTGGGCCTTGTTCCATCATTAGTCTTGTTTGGAGAGAATGAGACAATCTTGAAAATGAAGAATAAACTTGAGAATTATGAAAAAGATTTTTGTTTTTGTTGTTCTAGGTCAGATATGTACTCGGTAAAGAGATTTTGTTTTATTATTACACTGAAAAAAAAATTTATTTGATTCAAATACCGGTGTATTTGGTTATTATCAAATAAATATTTACTTGAATCAAATATTTCATATTTGAATCAAATAAATGGTATTTGCTTCAAATACTGAAATATTTGATTCAAGTAAATATTTATTTGATAATAACCAAATACACTAGTATTTGAATCAAATAAATTTTTTTTTCAGTGTATCTAAATTATCTAAAGTGTTTTTTTTATTACACTCATAAATAAGAGCCCGAACGCATAAATAAACTCTAAAACAAATTTTTTTTTTTTTTTAATTATGACTTGATAGAATCTTATTCTGTAGAATATTACTTTTACAGAATATTACATTTTTAAAATATTAATTTTTAGAATTTTCATTAAATCGATTATTATCAATGTTGAAGAAATTTTATTTATAGAGAAAAATTATTCTGCAAAAATTAATATTTTATCAATTTAATATTCTACAGACTAAGATTCTATCAAATCATAATCTGAAGTCAAATGTTCAAAATTTAAAATGATATGGATCCAATATGTCAAATATACAAGATATTTTTAATATTTGCAGTAACCTTAAATGATCATCGACTGTAGACTTATTTTTATCCAAATTAAAAAAATAAATGCGATTTTTAATAAATAATAAAAAAAAGTAATGAAGAAATAATATAAAAATAAGTAATAAAAAGCAATATCTTTAGAAACAGTAATAAAATTTTTGTTCCATTTTTATGTTTCAGGTACCAACATCCAGAAAGTGTCTACAGATTCAATCCTCGATCTTACCCCTATCCAAATGAAAATGAAGACTCAATCACGGAGTAAAATCTGTTAACAATCATGAATCCCCCTCCCAAAAACAAACCAATAAATTGTTAATTCGTCAATAATTGTTAATTATTTTTAAGTAATTGATTAATTTTTTTTATTATTTACTATAATAATTAGCCGATAATTATTTATTTCTATATATACATATCGCAAGAATTACTAAAAATAAAAGTGGACAAATATTGTAAATACTACGCTATAAATTAAGGTAAAATTAAATAATCCTTTAGAAGATATGTGTAAAATAAACAAAAAATCAGAAAATTATAAATTATCTAGGACTCAATTTTCTGTTTTTATTATTCATTTATTATATAGAAAAAAAGCGTTAATTTCTATTTTAATTAGTAAAAATAATATTATTTTCGAAAAAAATAGGAGATAAATTAGTCATATTAATCAGTAATTTGTAAATGATTAGTTTAGTATGAAATTTTGAAAATTCCTTGTATAGCGATACATTTTGATACGTAATTACGTATAAATACGTATGTATATATGTTTAAAAGCAATACAATAAGTATGATGAGAAAAGAATAAGTGAATGGTCCCAAAGGCCGAGACGGTCAATTTGATAACGTTACTCTGTAAATCAGCGAAACTTACTGCGTTACACGTTATAGCGAAAGATGCTTGGTTGTATACTTTACTTTATAAACATAAACAGGTTTTATCTTAAACGAATGATAAATCAAATACGGACTTTGTATGTAATATTTCAAAAGTGCAGTTTCTATATTTGCAGGCAGCGACAAACAAATATATATATATATACCTACTTATGAATTATAGCCATTTGCCTTGTACATGTGAATATTTATAATTTTCATCTTTTTTAGTAGGTTTCATTCCAATTTACTTTAGTTGACCGTCAATTTTACAATTTTATTTTCATACACGTCCGCTTGTGACACGTGGCATTCGATAATACATAAAACATCTGCAAATGGTGACACTAAAAATTGTTGCATTGTATGCGAGGTGCAGAGATCATTTTTCTTCTTTAAATAAATATTGTCACATATACAAAAATAAACTTTGTTTTTATAAAAAAAAAAATTTTTTGTTGTATTTCTTTTCATCGATTATAAATATTTGTAATTTATTTGAATGAATAATATAAGGAAGTAATAAATAAATATAAAATTATATAAAAAAAGATTTTTAAACTATGGAATGAAGAAAAAATTCCATCAAAACCTTTTAAATCATGAATTTTTTCAAATATTTCAATATATTTTTTGTTTATTATTATTATTATTATAATTTTTGCATCAATAAAAAAAAATGAAACTATATTGTTTTTAAAAATTTTTTTTCAGTTCTGATAATTGAATTGAAGTATATCTTATATCAGAAATTTCCTATCTAAATATGTATAAAAACTGGACACATTTAAAATGCATGAACACACCCTAAAGCAACGTGAAAGTCATTTATAAACACCTACGCTTCTTCCACTGAAGATCAAACCTCAAGTTTCAGTTAAAGAGTAAATAAAGAATACATGTATATATATATATATATATATATATATATATATATATATATATATATATATATATATATATACACATTTCGAAAATTAAATAGAATCTATTTCCTGTTTATTTTACAGAAAAAGAAATAAAGAATTTTCACGAAATCTGTAAGAAAACAAAAACACTACTACTACTTAATAAAGAAACAAAAGCTCAAAAATTGATCATAATTGGATAAAAAAAATTATAATTTTTAATAATATATGTTAGATCAATTATGAAGAATTATACAAAGGTTTATTGTAAAATTTAGTATATTTAGAAATGTTTACTTGTTTCACCTAAAGTATAAAAAAAAAATTCTAATTTTAAAATATGCCTAATAAATAATTTGACATTTTAAAAAATAAAATAAAAATATGCTATACATTTATAAATATTTGATTTAAAATTATATTAATAATGTGACGTTGCAAAAAATGTTGCAAGTTACACAAATTTTTCAAGAATAAGTAATTTGTTTTGTTATATTTCTTATAATTAATTATTTGTAAAATTTAATTCATTTCCTGAAATCCTGCAGCAACTTCGAAATTATTTGGAACATTTCTACTATCTGAACTCTGAAGAGCCTCAATTCTGTTTGAAATTCCTGCCAGCCTGATATGTCCTTCTGGTCAAACCTCAGAATTTAGTGAAGGAATTCTATCAACTTGAGAATTTTTACTATTTCCCCTGTCTTTAATTTGAATTAAATGGTGAATTGAAAATAATTTAAGAATTATTCATTGTTTTGAGAAGGTTTATTGTCAGTGATTATATAGGCCAAAAAGTTCAATCCAAAATATCAAGAACGAAATATCGAAGAAAAAAAGTCCAAAGTACAAAAAATTCAAAATGAAAATATTCAAAGTAAAGAAAGTCCAAAAAATAAATAATAAAACATGTATATATTATGTTTCCTTGACAAATTTACAAAAAATAAATCAAGTGTATTTACACTGAAAAAAAATTTATTTGATTCAAATAATCGGTTATAATTTTTTCATTATTTTTCGACAGAATAAAAATAAAAGAATAAATAAATAAAGAGCGAAACATTTTATGAGAAGGAATTATATACATTTATGCAAATAGGATAAAATATAAGCGTGTATTGAATCGGTATCGCCGTAAACCGGACTGCTTTTGAAATAGAATTCGAATACTGATTAGAGGCAGCAGATGGTGTCTCATAAAAAAATGGATGATACGCGGAGCGAAATCAGAAGCAAAGATTTGAAAAAAGGGGGGTTCGAAAATATCATGCCCACGCGAAAGAGGCGCGCGTGTAAATAAAAGCATATTATTCTCCCGTGTCTTGAGATTCAAGAAGGAGACCATGGTTAGCGTCCGTTTGGTAGCACGCTGAAGCTTAGGCGAGAACGCCTCATAAATAACTAATTGTTGCAGGCGAATTGCGTTCGTAAAGCGAGGGACGCAGTGGGACCCCCCGAGCTCCACAAGCCAATGGTATAAATTACGAAAACGGGACCCACGCCAGAGAACCATAAGGCCCATATATATAGTTGTATATATATATATATATATTATAAAAAAATTTCGCCGGTGTTTCCATGTGGGTCATTCCACGTCAAGAGTAACCAATCTAAATATTAGTATTTTAGTTCTGATTTTAACCTCAAACTCAGCGGCGAATTGACGTGGAATGACCCATATAACTATCTATATTAGTATTAAAATGAACATAATCTCAAAATTCAAGGTTCTACAAGGAAAAAAATATTTACCTGGAACAGCGATAAGTTTCACTGGAACACCGTTATTTTTTACTAAAACAGCAAAAGTTTTCACTATTCTAGAGAAATATATCGCTGTTCCAGATAAAGATTTTTTCCGTGTTTAACTTTTAAATATTAAATTTTGCAAAACTTAAACAAATTTTAAATCTTAAATTAATATAAAATAATTTTATAATTAATAAAAGGTAACGTCTGACTAGAGAGCTTTTACTACTTAAAAAGTAAAATCATTTTTCATTCTATCTCAATTGGATTTCTATCTCATTAGATTTTGTTATCTTCAACGTTCTTACCAGTAAAAGAAGAATTTTGTCTTTCTTAATTGTTGAATTATTATTTTATTTTTTGAAAAAAGACTACCAAAAAGACTAAATCAAAAATTTACTACTGGCGTAGTACTGGCGCAGTACTGACAAGTGTTGGCGCAGTACTGGCATCCAGTATTGGCGCCAGAGTTGGCGTAACTTTGAGATGATATCATTTTACCAGTATTGGCTACCAGAGTTGGCACTAGTACTGGTAACCACTACTGGTTCACTACTGACTGAGTACTGGCAGTTTTGTAATTTATTGTATACAAAAAGAAAGCTTTAACTGTAACAGAGATAAGTTTCACTGCCATAGTGAAATCTCTGCTCCAGGTAATACTTTTTTTTCGGAAAAAGTGTGTGAAATTTTTAGTAACCCAACACAATTAAAATATTAATTAAATTAGTCAACTAACTAATTGAGGGGCTAATAGTAAAAATGGTTTAAAATAACATTGGGAGCAAAAGTGGGATAAGTGACTTGGGAGCAAAAACGGGTTAAAATGATTCGTGTAATTTATTGATAAATTCATTATATTAACGATTAAAAAATATTAACAATAGGAAAAAATGCATATTTTATTATAATTAATATTTTTTAATCGATAATATAATGAATTTATCAATAAATTACACGAATCATTTTAACCCGTTTTTTCTCCCAAGTCGCTTATCCCACTTTTGCTCCCAATGTTATTTTAAATCATTTTTACTATCAGCCTCTCAATTAATATTTTATTATATAAAATCGAAAAAACCAAGAATTTTTATTCTTTATTATAATATATATGGCAAATTATTATTTTAAAAAATCAAAAAATAAATATAAAAATATGTTTATTATAAAACCAAAGTTCTGAGAAATAAAAGTATACGTAATTTTTTGTAGGTTTATAAATTTTTGGGCAAAAATTTTTTAAATTTAAGTTTTTTTCAAAAGTATAATATTTATTTTTAATCACATATATATTTGCATCAAAATGTATTTTTGAAAAACTTTTTTAAGAAAATAAAAGTTGTTTTTTGATTTATAACAAGTATTGTCAAGAAAATTTGTTTAAATTTTTATTTTAAAAAATATAAATTTTTTATAAACAAATTTATTTATTTTTAGTTTGATCGTTTAAAATTTTTTTTTGGTTTATTGCATATCTGAAATAATTTATAATTTTTTATAATTATTTATAATTTTTTTTATATAAAAGATAAATTTGATCTCAAACGTTAATTTTTTTCTATAAAATAATGACGCTTTTTCTTATTTTCAGAACAAAATAAAAAATAAAATTTTTTAATTTTTGAAAGACATTGTTGAAGATTGCACGCGCATGTTTTGCTAGTATAAATTATAAAACATATCATATCACTCTAAAGTGATAATTTTTTAGATATGTGTATATACAAAATATTGTCATGTCACGAAAAGATTTTTATTTTTTTTTTATGTCATTTTAATCGACTAATTATACATGTGAGGACAATCTTCATCGTATATGTGTGAGCACATTAAAGCTCTTTCATATTAAAGCAGTAGATTGTTCGCTAATTAGAGTTGAGGTAGAGATGATTATCAAATATATATTAGCACGACTATTCACTTGTCTCCATGTCGTCGCTTTTCACACTGCTTTTACTTACACTTCGTGTGTTTATATACATATATATATATATATATATCAGATCAAAAAACTCGATTTTACTTCTTATATTGTAAATCAGTTTCTTTGATACTTGATATAACTTATTCGCTTACTTTTTTCATATTTTATACTTTTTTTACATTTTGTTTCGCACTGCATTTCAAAGAATTATTCCATTTTTGTATTTATAATACAGTAGAATCTCGATTATCCGAGCTTCGATTGTCCGAGATTCCGTATTATCCGAGGCACCGAACACGAGGTGTATGCTCGGATAAAACGGATGGAACCGATATGCATTAAAAATAATTATACCCAAAAGTTACGTTCATTAGATTTCAACTTTTATATACATTTGTGATTAATTTTCTTATTAGCACATTAAATACATAAAAAAATGACTAAAGTTTTTTGAATTTTAGGTATTTATTCCGTGTTATCCGAGTTTTCGCTTATCCGAGGTGCCTCTTCCCCACATTACCTCGGATAATCGATATTCTACTGTACTTAAAAAAATTAAAACAATTTTTTAATTTTAAATCTGGTCAAACACTTATAATAAATAAATTAATAAAACACTGCATATAATAAACCTCTTTTTATTTATTAATAACTTTCTTTTACAAAAGGTAATGTTGAAAATGCTTAGTTTATTTATATTTTTTTTACACAGGGAAAACTGTCAAGACGCTGACCAAAGCCCTATTTTAAATCCCAGATAGCACGTAAGCTTGCAGCAAGCTTGGCACGCAATGTTGACAACGTGTCACGGTAAACCTTGCCGCAAGCTTACTGCAAGCTTCAAATGTCCCACCTGACCCAAGCTTG